CCCCCCACCCACACACACTGTACCCTGCAGTGGACACACCACCACGGAGAGAGGCTGTGCTCTGAGGGGGCTGTGCGGGGACCATGGGGACTTCATCTGGTCAGGGAGGTCAGAGAAGCCTTCCCCTTGACCTGAGGCTGGAAGAAAGGGTACCGTCCATGGGGTGCACTGACACAGCCACCCCCGGCTGCTGAGACCCTACTGCAGCCCCACGAGTGGGTGACTCTGAGCGGAAAGAAGCCGGTGAGATGCACGCAGAGAACCTCTCTGGAGGGTGATGAACCTGCGTCCTGGGGAGGCTGGGATTTCATGGACAGAGGTGCTCCCCGTGCTGGTCCCATCAGCCCAGAGGGCACCCGCTCAGCACCTCACAGCACAGGCAGCGGCAGCATCACCGCGGGGCAGGACCACCCATCACCGCTCTGTCCCGGAGCTCTCTCCCCTCGCCCAGACCTTTCTGGAAAACACATTTCCTTGGGAGTGAAAGACTCCAGACTCCATTTAAGCAAAACAGAAAAAATAAGACAAAAACATGGAACTTTAAAAAACCCACTTTTTTTAAGTCTCAGCAAAGCTCATTTTTTTTAAAAAAAATATCTAATATACTATCTACGCCACACGGAGGATGAAGAAGTAACCCCAAATGAGAGAAATTATTCAGTGCACCCGTTTTCCCAAGTCCCCATTGGGAAAACCTCTTCCCATGTTTAACATTACAAACTATTTGTGATTAAATTTCAAAAATCAATCATTGCATCGTGCAGCCCGCTGCCTCTGTGTCACCGTTGAGTGATCCTGTAATTGCATTCTGTTATCTCACGATGGAAGTAAAAGCTTCGAAAGTACTTATTTTGAGTCCTTCTTTTCTTCATAAGAATTGCTTATGCCCTGGCTCATGTGACTGGGTTGGTTGGGCATCTTTCAATGCACCAAAAGGTTGCCGGTTCGATTCCTGGTCAGGGCACATGCCTGGGTTGCAGGCCTGATCCCTGGTAGAGGCGCACAGAAAGCAGCTGATCAGTGTTGCACTCTCACAACAATGTTTCTCCCTCTCTCCCTTCCTCTCTCTCTAAAAATCAATCCAATATAATAAATGCGTAGTATGCAAATTGTCCCCGCCACCAGGAGTTCCTTGGGGAGTTCAACCAGGGGGCGGGGCCGGCTGGGGGAAGGGACGGAGGCCCTAGCCCGCAGCAGGCCCTGCTAGAAACCCTACCAGTGGACAAATTTCATGCACTGGACCTCTAGTAAAATTCAACCAGGGGGTGGGGCCGGCTGGGGGAAGGGACGGAGGCCCCAGCCCGCAGCAGGCAGCTGCTAGGAACCCTACCAGTGCACAAATTTCATGCACTGGACCTCTAGTAAAAAATATATATTTGTAAAAGAATTAGTTAATTACCCTTTCCAGCTATTAATGGCTTTAAGGTGACACATGTGAGAAACACCAGCATCTTAAGATGGAACAAACTAGAAA